GGGTCCAGATCTCCAAAGCCTTCTCATTATCCAGGGTGTTTCAAAGTTTCAAGGAGCCTCAGGGATTCCAGGCATTGCTTACACCCAGGATGCCATTATGAACAGGATGGTGCAGTGTGGAATAGCCAGCCCTCAGGCATCCAAGTTCAGAGGGAGCTTAGGGGTCCCAAAGCATGGCTTGCAAGAGAGGGGCAGAATTTATAGCTAGGAGTGAGTGCAAAGTGAAAAGGAATGAGGGGGCCATGACAGGTGGTGGTCATACCTAGCCATAAGGTAGGCTGGCACACCCCTGACCACTTGCTAGATGAACAAGTTAGGAGCAGACCTTTTGATGGTCAGAAAAAGGTCTGGATAGTGAATAGGACACTATCAGACCTAAGTCAAGGCTCAAGCACATAATGGGGAGAATGGGAAGTGGGAATTGATTGAGTTAAGGAGTTCAATGAACCCAGTTCAGGATCATAGACAGCAATATTGGGGTGCTGCTATGCCCTGAACAATAAACTCACATACAAAGGGGTAAAAGGGGTAAGGGAATTCATAAAGCATCATATTCACAACAAACAAACAACTGCACAGATTATTTAAATGCTGGACTGTAAGAGAAGGGGAAACACGTTATAATATGCTAGAAAACATGTGGACAGAATTAAACACATTGTTCTTGGGGCGTATAAACTAACTGAAACATACCGGTATAGAAGTAAAGAATGCAGAAGAAAACGAGCAAAGTCCACAGCAGTGTGAGTATCAGAAAAAGAGAGTGAAAGGGAATTGTAAACTCAGATGGTATTCTGTGTTCGTGTGTATAAGTGTAGAAGGGTAGCCTCTTTTATAGTGTAGAGAAGCAAACAAGAAAGGTAAGAAAACCCTTTTAAAAAAAATCAGTCTCAAATATTCTCCCTTTAGTCAAGGGATTTAATTTCAAACGGAAAAGTGTAAACAAGCAAAGGAAATTTGAATAAAATCCTTCACAGTAGCATAAGAAGGGAAAATACACGAGGTATATTTAAGGAAAGGTTTCAATTGTACTTGATTTTTAAAGAGAAAGGAAAGGGAATCAATCAAACAATGAACAAAATCAAAGTACAAAGTTTAAATCGAATGAACCAAACCAGAAATAGGTAAAGAGGGCTTAACCAAAGAAAATCAGTGGCAATCAATCAAGACCATATCAAAGGGATCCAAAATCAATCAAGCAATCACCAAAAACCTTGGAAGAGGAGCTTCTTGCATATAAAGCAAACAATTCATACAGAAGAGTTTAACATTGAAGTGTTTAGAATCGTAAACAAAAGAATACGAGTTCAACCAGAGACTCATAGTGAGTCTGAAGGTACAGGGTCCCCAAAGTGGAACCCTAATTCAATTTACCAAGAAAAACCCCCAAATTCTAGGGTTTCCCCATCGAATCAAACACAGAAACGAGAAGGCAAGTGAACAGACTCAAGGAGTCTCATGAGAATCAGGCAAATACAATGGCGGGCTTGAAACAATCAAAGAAAGGAAACCAATTTAAGGCATGAAGAACATGCTAAGAAAAACTTTGGCATTTAAGAAAACATGCTTAACAAGAACACGAACATAGTTCAGGAAAGCAAAACATCAAGAAACTCAGTAGTAAATATGCATGGTAGAAGAGTGAGAAAAACAGACTGATCATGTGAGCATACATATAAAAGTAGAAAGACAATACATGCGTAATAGAGGAGGAAAACATACGAGCATAATATAGACAAACATCTAAAAGAAAAGAACAACAAGAATCGAAAGACTTTCAGAAACCCTAATTTTGAAAAACCAACAATTTTGAAAAGGAAATTTGGGGAAAACACTCAAAACGTCAAATATAGCATAGGTTCAACACAGATCTAGGCAAATAAACAAAGAAAGAACCTCGAATAGTTTAGGGTTTCAGAGAAACCCTAGAAATGAGAAGGCGTGGAAAGGGTCTGGTCTCGAACAGATCTGAGCCATAGCTAGGCTCTTAAAGCTCGAACACACCGGGACATGGCCGGAGAAGCCATAGAATCACACATCTACAACAGATCTGAACGGACTTTATTGAGGTCAGGCCTCGAAATCTCGAAGAACCACGGTTTGGGGGAAAGGAAGGTAAGCACAGGATGTCCATGGCCGGAGAAGCCATGGACTCCGATGAGATTGCTCGGAGAAGACGACGGAGGCGATTAGGGTTTCGAGTGCTAGGGAGCATTTGAGAGAAGGAGAGAGTTTGAGGGCGGCTGTCTAAGAGAAATGAGGGTTAGGGTTAGGTCGTTTGGAATTAAAAAGGAAAGGGTTATTTGTGGCCGTTGATAAAAAGGATCAACGGCCTGGATTAAAGGGATCCCGGGCGGGTTTAGTTTAATGGGTCAGGGGTTGGGTTAAATTGGAATTGGGCTGGCCCAATTGGGCATTAGGATTGGGGTCAATTGGGTTTAAGATTAAAATGAAATTGAGGCTATAATTGAAATGAAATGTGGCCAAAATTGAAATAGCCAGTTTTTCCCCTGTTATTTTATAAAAATAGTGAAAATGATTTTAAAAGAAAATTGAAGATGCTGAACCAATTAATAATACATATGTATTAATTTAAAAATATTAGAACTAATTTTACAATTATAAAACACTGTTAATGGTAAAATAGGCTATAATTGCCTTTATATGCAATTAACTTTAAAAATACCAAACAAATTTGTAAAAATATACAAAAAATTACCTTAATTATATTTGGTGTAAATATGAGAATAAAATAAGTTATTCACAAAAATGATAATTTTGGGAATAATTATTGGATTTTGTACTGTTAAAATAGACAATAAATTGATTTAAAATAAGGAAAAATACCAAAACTCTTGGGAATGCTTATATATGCATGTATATGCTATTTTGAGGATATTTTGAGTACATAAAAATACTTAGGGAAAAATTGGGTATCAACAAACAAGGGCATAATGAATGCGAGTGCTGGATCACTCATCCTGAGCTTCACAAGAAGTTAGAGGAGGTTGTTGATGATAATGTCAAGGGAAAGGAAGTTGTGGGAACAACTGCTAATACGACTAAGGTATTGTTTAGTGGAAAGGTCCTTCGGAAGCCTATTCCTAATCAATCTAGGCAGGAATGGATGCAAAGAAGGCAAAATAAATACCAAAGAGATAAGCGAGGTCATATTATTGAGAATGCAAAGGAGCGGGAGAATGGCAAATTGAAGGGAAAGAACAATGGTGAGGTGGTGACCACAAGCAACAAGTTTGGTGCATTGGGAGTTGAAGAGGCTGACCAACCTACTTTGATGATCACTGATGGCAAGGGATGGGGGAATAGCAATGAGAAAATCAATAGGCTGCGTGAGGATGAATCAAAGAAGGTCCAGGAGAAGGAGCATCTAAGCAATGTTGAATATTCCAGCTCAAATCCAAGGAAAGCTGGGACTACTGTAACGGCTAATCAGGTCGATGCTAATCCTAGTGCTACAGGGATTAGGGGTGAGGGGAGGAAAGAGCCTGAATAAGAGAGCAAAGCCCTAATCCTCGTGGTATCGGGACTGGAGAATTAACTAATAAAGATAGAACAATTGACTGGGTTCAAAGAAGATTTGGCACGACAAAGGAAGCACCCAATGTTACACTTAACCATTCAAGCCAGGAGATATCTTCTCAAACTGTAGAGAAGTCACCAAGGGAAAATACAATCAACTGGAGTTATCAAGTAAACTAATACTCTATGGAGTGATGAGGTATAGGCTTTGGAGGACAATGTATAGGCAAACATGAGTACAAGAATACAAGAGCAAACAAGCAACTCACAAGGCAACCACACAGGCACAGTTGAAAATATTGCTACAGTAAACCCTAAGGTACATGAACCTAGGGTTGGCAATTTACAGAGTACTACAATGCAGCACGCGAGGAAACCAATTGTAGTAGGTGAAGGGTTATTGGAAGAAGCTAGAAACATGGAGGATCCAGCTGGGGAAGATATAGGGAAGGAGAAAGGCAATGGAACAGTAAACCCTTGGAAAACTTTTGAGGTTTCTAGCCTAGATTCAGGTGATCTGGTGGAAGTTTTAGGTAGTGAGTAGGTTGATGATCAAACAGCTTAGGTCAGGTGATACCTTAGAAGATATAGTGAGGCTAGGTGATCAAACAGCCGGTGACATGCCCTTAGATTTTAATGGAACAATAACTCCTGCAGGTGTAGCTACAGTAAACCCTAGCCTGGGTAATGTGTATGAGCTTCAATTTAAGGTGATGCAGGAGGCTTTGGGCGCTATGCAGCATAATGCTAGTATGATAGATGAGGCAAAAATGATGTCTAAAGAGCAGAATGATCGGGCTATAGTACCAAAGGCAACAAGAGTCATGGAACCAATTCCTTTGGCTTGTGCATCAAGAACTGAGCAGACTATGCAACTTCAGGCTAATGTTCCTTTTAAAACTCCTATTCAGACCTTACATGATCTAGTCACACACAATGTGGCTCCTGTGATGATTGATAAAGCCTTAAAGTAACAATAATAATATGAGGATGAAGGAGATGATGAGTCCACAACTGGAAAATTCAAAAAAGTGGCAAGGGAGGCTGACTATCTCTTAGAGCTAGTGCTAAGGTAGGTAAGAAAAGTAAGAAGCAGGTACAAAACAAGGAAGCACCACAACCTATAAGAGTAATGCCCAGAAGGGCACTGCCACAAACTAAATGATGATCATAACACTTATTTGGAATATAAGGTCTGTAAATACACAGCAGGCCATTCCTAGGATGATCAACATGTAAAGAGAGCATAGTTTCTTTGTTATTGTATTGATGGAACCATTTCAAAATCAAAGACACATACAAAGGTACAGAAAAAGGTTGAACATAGAAGCTTCTATGTCAAATATTAATGGGAAGATCTGGTTATTTTTTATGCTAATGTGCAATGGAAATTGACCATAGACACTGCACAACATGTTACTGTTAAGGTGTTTCATCATGAAATTGGACAATATGTTATGATGACTTTTGTGTATGCAAAATGTTCAGCCCTTGAGAGGTTAGAATCGTGGGATAGTGAGTACTATTTGGCAAGTGACATGGAGATGCCTTGGATGGTAGGTGGAGACTTTAATGTGGTACTTCATGAAGATAAAAAGATTGGTGGCCTTCCAATGTACCCCCTTGATTATGAAGACTTTGCTTTTTGTATCAATTCAAGTGGATTGTTTGATCTAGGTTATAAAGGGAGTTCATTCACTTGGTGGAATGGAAGACCTAATGCTGAATATATCTTTAAGAGACTAGATAGGATATTGGTAAATCTTTCTTTCCAGAATCATTTTCCTACTATTGAGATTGAGCATTTGATAAGAAATGGATCAGATCATGCCCCATTGTTCATGAGTTGTGGAGAACAATCTGCAAACTATGTGAAACCATTTAGGTTTCTCAACTTTTGGACAAAACATGAGACTTTTAAAGAGGTGGTGAGGTAGAATTGGCAAGCAGACTTCATTGGTGATCCTTTTCTTATGTTCAAGCACAAGTTGAAGAATTTGAAGGCTACATTATCCAAATGGAGTAAAGTCACATTTGGTGACATCTTCAAGCAGTTGGCAATCTTGGAGGACATTGTAAAGGTGAAGGAGATGTTGTTTGAGGAGGAACCAACAATAGCTAATAGAATAGTGCTTCAACAGGCCTAGGCAAAATTGAAGAAGTATTTGAGCATTGAGGAGCAGTTTTGGAAGGAAAAAACTGGGATGACTTGGTATGTTGAGGGTGATAGAAATACTAGCTTCTTTCATAATTATGTGAATGACAAAAGGAAGAAGCTGCAACTGAAGAGGATTCAAAATGGAGATGAGAACTGGATTGATGATCAAGTTCAATTGGTCGCTGGTGCTGTGGACTTTCAGAATCAGTTTACCAAAGAAGGTGATCCTATAGATTTTGATTTGCTTGACAATGTGCCTTCCATGGTGACTATAGAGCAGAATATGGAGTTGAGTAGATATCCAACACTAGAAGAGGTCAAGGGTGCAGTTTTTTGAGTTTAGTGGAGACAGTGCCAGTGATCCAGATGGATTTACTGGAAAATTTTGTCAAGATTGCTGGGAGATTATTGGCTTTGATATACATAATATTGTATTACATTTTTATGGAGGTGCTACACTACCTAAGTCCATTACACACACTAATTTTGTGTTGTTGCCTAAGAAACCTATGGTGCAAACATTTTCTGACCTTAGACCAATAAGTTTGAGAAAATTCATCAACAAGGTGATATCCATGGTGCAACATGATAGGCCGGAGAAGCTCTTGCCTACCTTGATATCTCCTAATCAATCAGGATTTTTGAGGGTAGGAGTATCTTTAAAAACATCCTTCTTACACAGGAGATTATCATAGATATAAGACTTAGAGCTAAGCTAGCTAATGTGGTGATTAAGCTGGACATGGCTAAGGTCTATAATAGGGTCTCTTGGAAGTATTTGCAACATGTTTTATGGAATATAGGGGTTGAAGAGTTCATCAACATGGTGTGGAACTTGATATCAAATAATTGATATTCAGTGTTGGTAAATGGTCAAGCTTCAGGATTCTTCAAATCTACAAGATGGGTGAAACAAGGTGATCCACTATATCAGCAAAAGTGCTATCTAGATCTTTGAAAAAGTTGTTTGTTGACAAAACCTTCGCAGGATTTGGTATGCCTAAGTGTTCTCAACCTTTTAATCATTTGGCATTTGTTGATGACACTATCATCTTTGCCTCAGCTCAACCAGAATCTTTGAAGAAGGTAATGACAGTATCGGGGAGTTATGAGAGGATTTCTGGACAGTTGATCAACAAAGCTAATAGTTCATTCTATATGCATGCTAATGTTTCCAATGCATTTTTTCAGGCAGTAGGAGATGCCACAGGTTTTGCTATAGGGGAGTTTATTTTACCTACTTAGGGTTCCCTATCGTCTACACTAGAAAAAGGAAAGATTACTATAATAATCTCATAGTGAAAGCTAAATTGCACTCTTGGAAAGGGAAGTTTTTATCATTTGGAGGTAAAGCAACACTCATCACTAGTGTGTTGCACATAATGCCACTACATATGTTATCAGTGCTTGATCCCCCAAAATAATGTTATTGAGCACTTGCAGAAAATGTTTTCAAGGTTCTTTTGGAATACAAAGGAGGAAGGCAGGAGTAGGCATTGGGCATCCTAGCAAAAATTATGTCTGCCTAAGGAAGAGGATGGATTAGGGTTTACATCTCTTCATGATGTTTCTAGAGATTTGTTTGCTAAGATTTAGTAGAGATTCAGAACAACCAAATCACTATGGTATAACTTCATATGGAACAAGTACTGCAAGAAAGATATTCCTACATTAGTGTGGTTTATGGCAGGGTCTTATGTGTTGAGGCAGATGCTGAATGCTATGGAAGATGTAGAGCATGAGATACTGTGGGAGATGAAAAGTGGTACAACAAATGTATGGCATGAAAACTGGACAGGTATAGGGGCACTATACCACTTGGCACCACCTGAATTTCATATCAATGAGGAGCTAGAAGAGGTAGCAGAATTGAGGCAAGAAGATAGATGGAATAAGGAGCTAATTGACCAGACTTCCCCTGAAGATATAAATAAACATATTATACAAAAGGTGCAGTTTGAAGGCTGCTCTGGTTACTAGGATAACCATTGTGGAAACCTACTACACCAGGTAAGTTCAGAGTGAGTAGTGCTTAGCACATAGTGAGTCAAAGAGCACACCTTAATCCAGAATACAAACATATGTGGATTAAGGGGTTTTCATTCAAGATTTCATTCTTTATTTGGAGGCTATGGAGGGGAAAACTAGCTACTGATGACTTATGGAGAAGGCAAGGATACATATGTGTTTCTAGGGTTGGTGTTGTCAACATACACGAGAGGAGACCTTTGGGCATTTGGTCTTGACACGTACAGCTACTACTAGGGTTTGGAAGACATTTATGAATGATGCAGGGATCAATGTTCCACTGATACAGGTGCATCAGGTTATTAGGGCATGGTTGAATGCTTCATGCTGTCCAAAACGGAAGCCATTATTCCAAGCAGTGCCGACAGTTGTAACTTGGGAGCTGTGGAAGATGAGAAACACAAACAGGAATGGAGGGTCAATGTCAATGAATAGGGTAATACATGAGATCAACAAGACACTATATTTCTTGGCAAAGGTTAAATATAGTTGTCTTACTCATATTCCATATCTTTGGCTAGACATGATAAAGTTCTTTGAGTAGTATAGGCCAATGATTGTAACTAAAAGAGTAACATGGCAATTGCCTTAAATTGGCTGGTACAAGTGCAATACTGATGGGGCATCAAGAGGCAATCCAGGTCCCAGTTCTATTGGATTTTGTGTGAGAAATAGAGAAGGTGATTTTGTGTAGGCGAAGGCACAACAACTGGAGGAAACAACTAACATTGTGGTTGAGGAAAAGGCAATAGAAGAAGGTCTATATTATTGTGTTGCTCATGACCTACATCCTCTCATTTTGGAGACAGATTCCCTAGGTATGTAGAATATTATTGAAGGAGGATGGAATCCTCCATGGTGCATTGGGGCTGAAGTTAAGAGGATCAAGGAGATGGAGGAGAACTTCAATGTGTTGTTTCAGCATGTCTTAAGGGAGGGCAACACAGTGGCTGATTATTTAACTAACCTTGTATTCTCTTTTGCAGGTACAGTTCAATATGACTCATTCTCTGAACTTCCAAGTGCAGGAAAGAGGTTAATCAACCTTGAAAAATCTCAAACTCCTAACCTTATGGTTAGAGTTGTAAAAAGAAAAGCTCCAGATTGATGTCTCTTTATAAAAGATCACATCATACTTGTTCCATTTGTCGCTGGATTTTTTGTGTGTTAATGGTGACATACCAGTGGTATTAGCATGGTTACATGCTCATTCTAGTGGTGGCCTAAAGACACATGGAATATGTAAACTAAGAAGGCATTACACTTCAACACATGTAAGTTCAAATGGTTACATGAAATTGCTAGAGCAAGCTTGGTCTGTCTTATGGTTTATAAATGCCTTCAAGGATGGCTTACTAAGTTGCTGTTGCATTCTACATTGTGGGTGCAACAATTGGTACATTATTAGAAATCTGGTTTGGATCTGCTTGTGGTAGTGGCTATATATTGTTATACCATCGTGCAAGGGTATTAGCATGGTTACATGCTCAATCTGGAGAATGTGTAACAGTGTATGATCTGGTAAATGTAGGCAAGAGCACTATGTTGTTCTCCATACCTCCGTGGGGTACTATCCTGGCTTCGTTGAGTTGCATTGGTACTGTACTGCTCAAGCTGCTTCATAAGGATATCTACTGTGTTATACATGGTTTCCATGCAATGTTTAGGTCAGTTAGCTGCTACATTTTCATATACGTGGAGGAATTTAGAAGTGCTGCTATGTTGGATACATGCATAGCTTCAGAAGTTGGTGTTGTAGACTGGAGATTCACACTTGCCTTGTCCTATGGAATATAAAACTTGGTGCCTGGTGAGAGCGTTAGAGGTGCTACATTGAGGTTTTGCCCTGGCTTGTGGATACATACAACATCATACATTGGAGGCTGTCTCTTCTAGTCTTTGTAATAGCTAGCATAAACTTATTAGCTAGCAGTAGCTTCTCATCTTTTAGTTTTGGTATTAGACAATTTGTAATTTTTGGACACTTATTTTTGGATATATATATATATATATATATATATATATATATATATATATATATATATATATATATATATATATATATATATATATATATATATATTAACCACTAGGCAACCAGCCTAGTGGTATATTTGCTTTTAAAGAAAAAGTAATCAGAACACCGTTAAAGTACCATTGAAACCAAATAAGAAAAACAAATGACAACCAAATGATCAAGTCGTTCTAACACAAGTTTCACAACAAAATTTCTCTGAGATACCTTATCTCATAATCACAAGTCACGAGTCTCAAATCACCAATCATACGCCCGTGTTACCTCGTGCCCACATTATAAATCATAACTGTACGGACAACTCATGTGCCTGTACTCCAATCAACCCGGCATGGTCACAGGCTCACTATCACAATCCGTCTGGCATGGTCATAGACTCTATATCACAATCCGCCCAGTATGGTCACAGGCTCAATATCACCCTGAAAGCAGATATACAAGAATACATGTGCGAGATCAAAAAATTTCGAGTTTCATACTCCTGAACTGGTATAAGTGGCATGCCATAGTGTATGCATGTACAAGTGTGCTATTACAATCCAAGTCAGCAAGTAATATCAGAGACATCGAGTAGCTCATTAGAAACAACACAACAAGTCACGTAAGGTGCACGATACACACAAGGAAAATCACACCATTACACGAATATCATCAAGAATATGCCCCTAGGCCGACACATATCATCCCTAACAAATCCACCCTTATCTCTCTATATTAACAATATCATAATAGCCACTCGTATCGCTCCGCCCAAATATGTAATACAATAACCACCCCTCTTACTCCGCCCAGACAATAACACAATAGTCACCAGTATCACTCCGCCCAAACAACAATACAATAGCCACTCGTATCACTCCGCCCGGAAAATATGTCAATGGCCACCCGTGTCACTCTGCACAATCAACAATAGTGAGATGCCACCC